TGGTTAATTCATCAAAGTATCTACATGAGTCAATATCAAAGGGTTCGGCTCCAACCAGTTTGGCCAACGCCGGGAACATTCCCGACAATACGGCGCCTATTTTTGCGTCAGTGCTCAATATGTTGCGGGCATTTATGACAATGGGATGATTGGGATTATTAATGGACTCGACGTCAATGCCGTACCCGCAGCGCGAGATCACGTCCATCGCGAACGCACCGACATGTTTGCGCATATCTATTGGCCCACCTAGATCAATTAACATTTTAATTACATTGTATTTACAAGTGTTAAAAATATGTATTAATGTGTTACGATCCGAGCGGTCAGTATTGGACTGATCGGGGATCGGGTTATGCGGAACCGGTCGCTAACTATCCCCCAAACTCACGGGTAAAATAGTTACACATTATAGCCGATGAATGACAACATTTATTAGATGTTTGTATGTATTGTGTGAGTGAGTGTAGACTCGGGTGGAGTCCAGCAAACACTGAAAAATACAGTGTATGAGTTCGGGTTTAAATACAGTTTAGGTATGTTTTACATATAGTGTACAATACATAGGTATTGGTGTGAATACAAAGAATGTGATAAACAGTTATATTGGGTAACAGTTAGTAATGTTAGGATATATAAGACAATGCAGATATTTATTTGCATTGTAGGACTGGTAGTCACAGGTAGTGACAAGAATTGATGGCTCGGGTGTCCGTCACGTATGACAAATGGGGTAACCATAAAGAGGGGGTATTTTAAAACCGTTATAAATGTATTTATTAAAAGCTCAAAAATAAATGTTAATAACATTTTTATATATCTATCATAATTTATGTAAAAATAAAGTATTCAGCTCTCGACCCCAGACCATCTATTTATTTATTACATACTCTATATATAATTATATAAATTAACTCGATACAATTACAGTTTAAAACAGATAAATCTATCACATAAAGAACACTGAACATAACATTTATAAGAAATTATGCATAATTATGTGTAACAAATATAAATTGCTTATCAAAAAAGGATAACTATTAACTATAAATATAATTGTTTGCATCATTGCCCAGAATTTTTTAAGATTTATTTATAACATGAACATTCAATTTACTTTACTAAAACACTACAGTTTATACTCATAAATTTAAATCTGGTTAAAATATTTACCTTGTTTCTTTAATTGAACCAAATTGTCAATAAATCTATCTGAAATATTGTCGATGTGTGCCATCATTGCCCTGAGTTTACCCGATGTAAACACAGGGGACAGTATAGAGCGCACACGTTTCCAGTCATCGTCGCCGGGCATAAAAAATAGGCTTTTGTCCATTTTAGTTGTGCCCATATGGAAACCTAGGTGGTCGGGGAATATGTGAAAATCTTTGACCATGATGTCTCGGAGCAAATCGGGTTCGTTGATCACGATTATTTTTCCCGTAAATGTATAACCACCAAATATTCGCCCAAACTTTTTAAACACTTCTACATCGTATTTATGGGCAGGTTTGCCAATTGCCCTAAGGTCAACATAATTATAACCGGGTACACCATGTCGCTTCCAATAGGTGAAACGATGTCTCAAATATCTAGTTTATAAATAACCGTTATTTATTTATAATACCAATAATTATATAATTAACCATATTTATAAAATTATTTATGTTAATTACAATTTAATTATAAATTATAATGTAAATCTTGTTAAAATGCCTTGTTACTACATAAATCTTTGTAAAATTGTTAGATAAAATTAATTATGTAAGAAAAGTAAAATAACAAAATAATGTTTTATTAATTTTGAAAAGTTTATGCAATACTTACATTCCCAGTACTGTTATTGCGGTCACAATTATCGACAAAATTGTTATGCTATCCATAATTTTACAAAAAACTTTATATATCTATTAAACAAATATTTATTAAATCAAATATATTTAAAACAAAATTTGAATATAATAATACAATCACTTTTTATAATTTTTAAATTTCTTATAAAACCAAACTAAATTTTAGCATTTACTTAGCAAAGCATCTACTGTATAAAACTTACAACGATTTATAAACATTTTATAAAAATAGTTGCAATCCTTTTATCAATAAAATATATGATAAGATATCATAATATAAAAAATATAAATATGAAATTACCCTAACTGCATTAAGAATAATTCGGGTAATCTATAGCTTACTAGCACTGGTTATAGCAATGTTAGTTGTGAGCATGTGTAATAAATAACCCTAAATTGTACGCATAATGCTATATTATTGATAACAAAACACAATTACTATTACCCATAAGAAACCCCAGAATTCAAGGATCTAAAATTAACCTTGAACAGTTTTGTTTATATACAAGTGCTATACCAACATGAGCCTAATGCACTAAATCGCCGTAAACATTTATGCAGCATAATTATTAAAACATCCTTTTCAAATGTACAACTTTATATAAAATTTTTTGATTGCATACTTTATTGTTTTATTTATTTTCAGAATTGTGATAATTATTTTATTTTAATATTTTCATGTCAATAACATTTAAAATAATCAACAATTTTATTTGTAAAAATTTATAAATTTTTAAATATATAAAAACTATTTTGTAACTGCACAAATTACTTAACTTACTATGTTAATGAATTATATTTCTTAATTTACCATTAATATAGATTTATCTAAGACGTTGTCAAAGGTCTGGGAAAAAAAAATTAATTTTGATAAAAATTTATTCATGAACAAACAATTAATAATGAAAAATAAATATACAAAAATTATTTATATAACTCAAACCA